CGTTAATATTTGATATATTTTTTTTGTTTGCTTTCTCTTGGGATTTGACCCAATCTTTCCACTTGTAGTGAGAATATCAAGTTCTCAGTGGAGGAGTTATCTGCCTTAAAAAGAGTTTCATCCGGGCACCTGCGTCTTCTTGGATTCAAGCCATTAAGTTGCTTAAAAGATTATCACAACTTAAGGCCATCAACCTTTGTGTATCCCTGTGACCAGGTTACATCAATTATTATCTTTGTACAGTATTCATGTTCTATTGGGCTGAAGCTCATGTCTTGCTTCTTCAATAAACTACAGTTAAGGGTGAATGATCCATTGTGCATTTCCAATGCTATGAACATTTAGGGGTTGCATGTGGTTTTATAACTTAAGCACTGGGTCATGAATTTACATATGTGCCTATTTTCTCTAATGTATCCCTTTGTCTCCTTCACTCCCATGTTTAGGGACAAATACATGCATGTGTGTGCATGTGAAATGGTTCCTAAGATTATTTTAGAGCTTTAAAGGAGAAAGTGTAATGCTTTTACAACAAAATAGGAAGTCAGCATAATTGTTTCTGCATACATATTCTGTTCTCCAGAAGCAATTGCAGATCTTGATATAATTTAGATATGAATTCTGCAGATTTATTTTTTGCTTGTTCATATCTTCTGTCAAGCAATTGTTCCGAGCTTGCAGCACACACATGTCCCTTCTGAATTGCCATTATTTGATTTCATCATGAAACATTATTATTTGATGTCTGTCATGTTGTGACAAAGCTGTTACAATGTGGCAATTTTAATGCTATTTTTGTTCTTGACTTTCATCTTTATTTTCAATGTATATAAGAATTTAAGGCTATGATTATAAGCCAAAACAGAAACACATATAAGGTACAATTATAGTTATTATTGTCATTGTTATTGAACTTTTTTTTTTGTTATCCAATGCAGGAAGTGATTGGTAGCACTCGTGTCTTCATTGCCCTGCACAGGTCCATGCTACGACTTCAGCGGTTGGTATCTATATTGTTCATGCACTCGACTGTCTATTGTTCCTCAAACTTGACGCCATAGGCATTTCTGCTGTAGGAATATATTGCATTTAGGGCTGGTTTGGTGTAATTTCCATTCCATTTCGACCTAATTCTTGCTTTCGATTTTCGCAGGCTTGATAGATACAATTAAAATGTGATTCTCTATGTTTAAGATACCATCATTCGCTTTTTGGATTTCTTGAATTCTTGATGTTATATTATTGGAATTGAAATCCTAATAACAAGGAATTTAAGGAGGGAGTAATTGAACCTTAAACATAAAAAAATCAGTAATTGAACCTTAAATATAAAAAAATCATGTTATAATTGTATATATCAATTCTTTAAAAAAAAAATAATTGTATATATCAAGACTGTTATGTAAATTAATCGTCAAAATTAGCTTGAAATGGAATAGGAAATGAATAGGAAGTGAACAAAAAGGGACCTTCATGCTGTTGGTTATACGCTTCATTCTCATCATGATAAAAATCAATGATACTTCATTTGGATTCAAAGAAAATTTCTTTTCTTTTTTTTTTTTATGCTAATGCAAGATTTATCTGTCATAGTTCCTACTTAGGATCTTGTTATGGGATTTTGATCGATAGTATGAGCTTGTTAAGAAATAATTCAATGATCTCCTAGGGTTCAAAGAGATCTAATAATTTTGTATGATTGGTATAGAAATTCCTATAACCATTTATATCCTCCACTCTGAAATTCTGCGATGCTACTGCAAATAATCGTTCATGTTTTCATAACTTCCTCTCTTGTTTCGACAATATTATTGGTGTTGTATACTGACTCAGAATAGTGTATGAACTTATGGTCTACTCATCTTGATTATCTGTTCCTCTTTTGTTTCACTATAGTCAATTTGCCATATCAATAATTATTTTTATATGAAGTTTGCACTGCATGAAATTGAAGGTGGGTTACAATGAAGTAAAATTTTGACATTTCAGGGTTGTCCATATATGCAGAAATTTACTTGTACTCTCTCTCATGCAGCTTTGCTGTCGCATTTCATGGTAGTTCATCTCCTTATCGATTGGTTGCTCTTGTTGCTCAAGTAAGAATTTCATTACATGTTTTTATCATTTCATTTATAAATGTGAAAAACTGTTCTGAAGGGTGTAAATCTAATTATGCTTCATTTTCGTCAACATCAATAAGTTCAGAGCCAAAAGCCTGTTTGTTTGGGCTTATGCTCATAACATTTCCATATTATGGTATGAGCCCTTCCAAAGGGATAGCTTTAATGGATTATATTAGGTGCAGTTCCTAGGATCTAATAATAATAAATAAAACGAACTAGTTAACTTTTAATCTTCATCAAAACCTGATGCAATTGGACTGTACATGCATGCATACACAAAATATATATGTATGTATTGTTTGACAGAGTAAATTATGGATGGAACACCATTATTTCTACAAAAAGTCATGCTAAAGTAATAAGTTTTTCTACTCGTTGGAAGCAACAAAAATCTGCATTAGCTCACCAAACAAACTAGCCAATTTGTCACAAGATGAACAATGATGATATATACTGCTGCAATATGTCTCCATGATTCCTTCCTGTCTTTCTTTGCTTTTGAAAGTTGGGCCTAATTTTTACTTGTAATTACTGTCAGGATGTGGTACTTGCTCTTAAAAGAAGCACTGCTGCTCAACCTTTATCATGGCATCTGTTTCTCTAAATTATTGGTTGGTGAACATTAGATGACTATAATGCATATTTGCAGATGATAGAAGTCATCTATAAATTAACAATACTGTTAGGACATATGCCCGTGGCATATGCAAAGACGTCATGGGTTGATGGAACTTTTGACATAAGAGAAAGGGTCCTTGTGGGAACCATAATTACATCTAGAAAGAAAAAAAGGTCTTCACAAAAAAGATAAACTGGATAACTAATTATTTTCTAATTTCCTCATGGTTTTTTTCTTTCTCAACAAAAAAATATTCTCCCTCTTTTTTGTTTTACTTCACTCATCTTGCTTTTGTTGCATCATAATATAATTTTCTGATCCAATAGATCAAACTCTGGTTAATAAGTAAGACCCACACATGTATGTTCTATCTAGCATTTACTGTATAACAACAGCCTTTTCTTTTTCACATATGGTTTTCTTTTAGTGTGTTCTCACTGGTCACTTTGAAACTTCACAGGATGAGATTATTCGTCCAGGTGGTCAGATTGAGTCACCGGGAATGCACATGATATATCTTCCATATTCTGATGATATCAGACATGTTGAAGAGGCAAGAATAGTATTTGATCTTATAAGTTATTAGTGTCCCTATAAATGGTTTTTCTGAAAGAACTGGCAAAGTTTTGCAGCATTTTCTGAACACTGATGCTGCTGTTCCCCGAGCAAGTGACGATCAAATTAAAAAAGCAGCTGCTTTGATGAAACGCATTGACTTGAAAGACTTCTCAGTTTGCCAGTTTGCTAACCCTGGTAAATTTCCATATACTATGTGGTAAATCTGTAGCTTAAAGAAGCACACGGTATCTGTATCTCTTTTCAAATAACTCTTTCTTTTAGTATGTTGTTGTTGTTCTTTCTTTTTCATGACTTGTGTATTTAAACAAAAAAAGGTTAAATTGCTGAAAGATCATCATCATACTTTACCAGTAAACTGATGATTAGTTAGTGACGTGCATGTTACCATGAGTTTTTATCGTTTTATTTTTCTTTTAAATAAGTTCATCTGTTAAAATAAACAAATTTGTGGACACACCACCACCATACGACAGTCATGTAATCAAATTCTAGTATCTATATGGCTTGATATACTACATTTAAAATCTTATTCAGATCCAAAACTAGCGTGTGGCAGGCTATTTCTTTTGGCTTTTCTCCCCTTTGTATTTCAACCCAAGCGGTAGTAAATATGCTTTGTCTAGTTTCGCTCAAAGTCTTTGTAAATTTCATCTACATGGCAGTTATGTCATCAAATTTTAATAATATGTCCATCACATGATAATGATCTTTTCAAAAATTTGTTTACTTTAATAAATGAGTTAACTGAAATACTAATTATGAAAAAAATGAAAGTAGGAGATTGGATTGCAATAGTTTAAAAGTCAAAGATCAAATTGATAAGGAAGAAAAAGGTGAGGGTCCCTTTTTTTAGTTAAGTCTATATTTATCCATATTCTCATTGTGCAACAAAATAAACTTTTGCAGCCTTGCAGAGGCACTATGCAATATTGCAGGCCATAGCATTAGACGAAGATGAGATGCCTGAAACTAAAGATGAAACACTCCCTGATGAGGAAGGCATGGCCAGGTGGGGAGAAGTTACCATCTTTAACAGCATTTGCCATCTGTAGACTCTTTCCTTGGTTTCATTTCGAACAGAATTTGTTGATATGGTTTTTAAAAACTTAATTGCATATGGCATGCAGACCTGGGGTGGTGAAGGCAGTAGAAGAATTTAAACTTTCTGTTTATGGGAATGATTATGATGAGGGAAGTGAGGCAGGCAATGGAAAAGCAAGTGACACCTCTAAAAAGAGAAAAGCAGATGCTGAACTTGTTGCTAAGGAGTATGCAAATTATGATTGGGCTGACCTTGCTGACAAAGGAAAGGTAAAGCTCTGTACTGTTTTAATCAGACCTTGGATTCTTTAGGTTATTTTTTTAACTGGAATTACAAATGACGGGTGCTTAACCAAAGGTCACTCTTTTTGAAATTTTTAAGCTTTATTGGTTTGGACAAACCTGAATTCCAAAACCCTCCCAGTAGAATGTGAACTTTTTGAGATTTCAGAGATAATTATTTATCCCAAAACTAATGGAAGATGAGCACCGATTAGCATAAACATTTGAATTTCAGCATTCGGCTAATGTTTTATTCCAATCTTTTTTCACACTTGAAAAAGTACTTCAGAAAGTATCACTTGAAAAGCTTGATACGTCATGATATTTGGAGTCTATTGTAAACCTATTCACGTGTATTGGGCGAAATAAACTTGGTTCCCTATGACAAACAAAAAGTTGAAATAAAAACTGGGAGAGTTTATAGTCATGCCATTA